TTTGAAGTAAAGATTATGACTCTCGGAATGTTAAAACTATAAAATTATTTGTGTGTGTGGAAAGGATAGAAATGGTATTGTAATTTTGTAAGATTGTGGAGTTAGATATCACCAAACTTTACTCTGATGAATCTTTGTTCTCTTGTTACATTCATTGCCTAGTCAACTCATAAGTTTACTCAAACCTAATCCCTTAGAGTAAGAGCATATGTGCAGATAATGAATATTAATTCCTTGAGTATCCAATATCTACACCTGCATTACGGGTTAGGATTTAAGACTACTAATGGACCAAGCTCCATTCCTAAATACATTTCCCACTAGGTATTTGTTTCAGAGCTAGTTCAAAAGGCTATTTTCCAATACCCAATGGACTTTTTATCAAGCAAAGGAGAATCAATCCAAAGCAAACATTAAAATTAGAAACATAACACAATAATGAATGAAACAACATATATAAAATCTGTAAATTTAAAAAAAAAATTAAAATCATTTGATACTTCGTTTCATTAATTCAAATCAATATATAAAATGATTTATAATTATCCGTCAATTTGAATTAATGAAATAAAGTATCAAATAATTTTTACATTTGTAGACTTGATTTATGCATTAAAAACTTTAAATTCAATGGTTGGATTGTTAAAATTTGATGTAGAATATAAGTTATTGAACGGATATATATATCATTGATAATGTGAAGATTACAATAGAGTTACGTTGGTTACATCTAACCCTACAAAATAATGGGTAAAACCGCTCAAAACAATGAGGGTGAAACAAAAATAGAGATGGAAGTGAGATAGAAGAACCGAAGGAAAAACCCACACACGAATGATCCCAAGCACCAGGAATCCCTTCCACAGCTCCCAGAAGTCGCCCAATGTGTGAATGAGGCGGAAAAGCCTCAAAGTTTTGCTCAAATATGAATTGGTTGAGTCAGGATAGGGTTTACACGCCCGACGCGTTATACCTCGCGCCCGGTGCATGGTATTTCAGAGGGGTAATTGCTCTCTGTCTTGAATCATGCCTGGCGCGGATACTCCTGCGCCCGGTGCAATGATGTTTTTCCTGCTCCTCAGCTCTTGCAATTTCCAATCCAATGGGCCTTCAATCTCAACTCTTTAACTCAATACCTGCACAAAAAATGAGGTGTATCAGGGTATTGTCATATGATTTTTGGGTTAACTATATTTGCACAAAAATTAATCAAAAGAGAATAATTATATTGCAAGAGTGCATGGGATGAGTGAAATTTTTCAATAAGTCCTATCTAAAAAGAAGTATAATTGAGACTTAACATACTCCAATACACCCATTGGGTGAATGTTACTATATATATGGAAACTATTAAAGTTGTGTTTAAAAATCCGTGTAAATGGTTTTAAATAGAAGTTTTTCATGTTTAAATACACAAATAGAGAAACAATGAAAATGTTGGAGATTATGCTTAAGATAATCAAATGTCTTGGTCTAGTGGTTATAAAGTCTGTTTCTAGTACTTTTATGTTTGATTTTCATCTGTGTAAAATAATGCTTGGTTAGTGAAAGTCACATCTCGCGAACACAAATTGGTCTTTAGTTGTCAACTTTAGGACATTATATGAACCATATCCATGAAAAAAAAATAGCTTAAGATCAATTGGATGAAACCAAAAATCAAATAGATACTAAACAAATGTATTTAGTTGATCACAAAATAAGCAAAAAATCTTGTTGTCGTGTGAAAGAATCCCTTTGTTAGAAAGAGTACATGTTCTTTTCCAATCTCAAGGCACACATATATTCATTTATCTATTGGCTTCATTGAAATGAACTTTAGTTTAGGTTTAACAACATTCCTTGGCTTTTTAACCCAAAGAGAATTAATATGTAAACAAATTTCTCAAAGGGGGTTATTTCAATACTTTGGTGTGATCAATGGGAGTGTCACTTCAGCCTAGTGTCATCTATGCAACATAATTAATTTTTTCAAAAATGGCTTGAAAGTGGAGGCAGAGCCGTATGCGTCAATGATGATCTCACACGTAACTCCAACAACACTTGTTCTAAGTAATAATAAACATGTGTTATTACTCTTAAGTAGGAATCAATTTTTTCAATAATAGGTGCCACTACCTCCCAATAAGTGGCTAAGTTTTGCATTTTTTTTGTTAGTGTTGCTATCCACATTGAGGAATCATTTTTTTTAATATTCAAGTGTTGTTGTCCCCAATAGGGGATCAATTTTTATTTTTTCTGCTATTCAAGTGTCCTTACCCCTGGTAGAAGACTATGTTTTTAATATTCAAGTATTGTTGCCTCCATTGGTGAATCATTTTTTTTAATATTCAAGTGTTGCTACCCTCACCAGGGAATCAATTTTTTTAATACATGGTGTTGCTGCCCCCCTTGGAGGATCATTTTTTTTAATTTAAATTAAATTTTATAGTAAACATTCTAATTAATAAATTAAGGTATAAATAAAAACACCAACATAAAAAATAAAATAAATATTTTATTTATTATTCTACAAATATTAACATTATGGATCACCTAAACTAGTTGATGAACATACTTTCACGTAAACAAACAATAATTTTGTCCGAAGTTTATGATCGACGCAAATACCGCAAAATATCTTATACAATTCTTTCAATCTTAGCATATAATTCAATCTTACCTGCTTTATAAAATTCTCTATATACAAAAAAATATGTAATCTACATCATTATCATTCACAAGTTGAAGTGAACCACAATCAACACAATCATTTTCCTGACAATAAAGTTGATGTCGATAATGAAGTTCTTTTATATTATCAATACTTCTTACTTTAATGACTTCTTTAATTTGATTTTTCAACTTGTGTAATGTAATAATGTCTTCATCAATCCTAAATAATTTAGGAATATCACATTCATCAGTAATTCCTCTAGGATCACTGATAATTTTTCCTCTGTAAAAAACAACGTATAGTATTAAACTCATTTATTTAGGAAGCAAACAAAAATAATCACTCTAAATTGAATCACCAAGCAAGCAACATTCAACATATGCGTAACATATATATACACAATATTTTTTTTAACTAAAATAGTCCCCTAAATGGGATAGCAGCACATGGAAAATAAAAAGGTCTCTCTTTTAAGGACAATAACACTACCTACAATGTGGTAAAAGGAGTCCCTCATTGGGGATAATAAGACCTTAATTGAAAAAAATAATTGATCTCTAAATGGGAGTAGTGACACTAACCAAAAAATAATGCAAAACTTAGTCTCTATTAAGGGTAGTGACACCCATTATTAAAAAAAATTGATCCTACTTGGGAGTAACAACTTTATTGTGAAAAAGGTGAAAAATTAAATTAAACACATAAACTTTTGAAATCTAAAAAATAATATGATAAAGAAAATATAATTTTGAATCCATTAATTTGATATAATTCAAATTAAAGAAACTAAATACTTTTGTCCTTTTGAACATTAAAAAGAATTATACATATGATTCCGTATGTTGGACTTAAATATGTTTTTTCTTCTTCTCTAATTTAAAGTTTTTTTTATTTTTATAAATTTATTTACAAAATCACTCATATAAAATTGAAACATTTCATTTTTAGTTTTTGCCTTTAAATATAGTTAAAAAAAAACGTAAAAATTTCTTAATGTTATCACGCGCCTCATCACTAAAAAGATGTTATAATATATCATCAAATGTGATACTAACAAATTATTTTATTATTTATGTTATGTCAGCATAAAATCATGTTAACAATAGTGTCACATCAATAATACAATAAAGGAGCTAAAAATGAAAGAAAATTAATTATAAGGATAGAAAATGAAAAAGAATACCAATTTATAGGAATGTAAAATAAAAAGTAAAAAGAATTACGTGGAAAAAAGTGAAAAATAAATTGTAGGTAAGAATAAATATTTAAGCCTTAAAATAACAAAAAATATTTTTTAATAATTACTTCTTTATTCTTTTTTTCATTTTTTTTTCTTGTTCAACATTATAAAGTAAAGTGATTTACATATAGAATAAACACTTCAAGCTCTTTCACTCGGTGTACACCATTCCTTTCCTTTTTATCATGCACATGCCACATAGCAAAATATTGGCACTTATTAGCTTGCAATGGTTAAGTGACTATGACTAAATTAATTGTTAGTGGTTGATTTTAATATGGATAAATTTTAATAAAAGTCTTAAAATTTATGTTAGCATGTAGGGTATTTGAGCTAAAAAAAAACTAAAATTAAATAATACTAGTTTTATTGAGAGAATGTTTGATTTTTATTATTTAAATTTATTTTATATTTAAATTTATGCAATATATTTAAGACTTATATATTTCTTTGTGTCTAAGAATTTGCCACATGTTTTTCTTTTAGTCCATTAACTTTTTTATTTTCATTTTTCAACCCTGTAAATTTAGTTTTCATTTTTTTCCTTATATATATATTTATTTATTTATTAAGTCCCTCTACTCTACTGCTAGGGGGGCACTGGCGGTGCCTAAAAATTAATAAAATATACTCTCTAAGGTTAAACCGAAAAGACAATAAAAAGTTATTAATCTATATAATTACAATTATTCTCACAATATTCCTCTAAGAGAAAATATAAGTGATGTACTTTCCTGTAGATAATAATTTTATACTTTCATTTAATCATAACCTACCATTTGTAATAAATTATTAATTTTTTGATAAATAATAAAAATTTATATTATTAATAATATTTTATTAATTAAGAATATAAAATAATTTAACGTTATCGTACATGAGTTAAATTAATATATTAACCGTTTTTAACCTGCAGGCAGGAATAAAAAAAATGGATAAAACAACGTGTATGTTTGTGTGCGGATCATACGACGAGTATCGATCCTTTTCAAATCTCGAGGCACATAGATCCTAGAATTATACCATACTATATAGTCGTTTGTCTGTTGGATTGTTTGAATGGAAATCTGATTTTTCGGTGCAAAACATTGCTTTCTCTCTCCCTTGGATCTCCCTTTGAGTTTTGACTTGTTTTTTAGTTGCAATGACTGCTTCATTGCTTTCTTACTCTTGCAATGACTGATGGTCACAGTGGTTTTGAATTCCACACATGACAACGATGTTGATGCTGGTATGAAGCTCAAGAAAGATTGATCAAGAGGAGAAAGGTTGGTATCATTTCTAACTTCAACTAATTTAACAAAACATGCTTCATTGCATACTACTATTTTTGATAGTTTACCAAATCACCCTCGATATATAAATAATAGTTATTTGTATAATGATGTAAAAAAAAGAAGTTAAAAAGCAAATGTTTTTAAGAAGTTTTTACATAACTAAAGTTTTTTTTAATATTTTTTCAAAAATGGGAAAATTCTTTTAAAAAAATTCTTATTCATTCCAATTTGTATTTATCATATTTTATTTAGAAAATAAATTACTAATAATTGAAAACAATCTCTTGTTATAATGTAATTTATTTATTATAAATTTAAAATATAATTTATATAATTAAAATATTTATTTGTCCAAATTTTAAACATTACATAATTTTTTTATATTCATATATAGTATTTATATATATATATTTATTTATTTATAAATTTTAATTCACCTAAATACTAAATTAAAATAACTATATTAAACTATAGTTCTTTTAACTTATGTATAAGGACAATTTAGCTTATGAAAAAAGATAATTTTTTTTTGTTCTTATTTTTTTTATTTTATAAATATTTATGAAAAAATTTGTCTAAACAAACTTTATTTAACAATTAAAGGAAAAAGGTTGGGATAAATGTATGAGGACTTAGTTTGATCTTCATCATAATCTTTGTAACTTTTTTATAAATAAAAAGAAAAAATTTGCAAGTATTTGAGAGCACTTATAAAAAATACTTTGTAATTATTTCATAATATATTTTTAACTTATTTTCATAATATCTACATGATAATTTATGAAAATAACTTATGTGAAACTTATAAAAGAAAAAAACAGTCTGAAACCCTAATGGGCCAAAACATATGGGACATGTGTGTGATTTATTTTCATTTACTCCTCCCAAATTCATCCCGACTTTCACTCAGACAATAATTAATGAAATGGCAGATACAATATTTACAATACATGTAAATGTAATACGTGAACAAATTAATATAAATATTAATTTTTTACAAAATCAATTTTAAATATTGGTAGTAAATGTATTTATTTCAATGTTTGCTTCTTTCTAACAAAAAGAAATTAATTAAATAAAGTTACATTGCATGTTGCTAGTAATTTTTTTTATATGCTCCTTTTTGATGTCTAGCAATTGAAGTTTTATAATGATTTACTATTTTTATATACTTATATTTATTTATATACGTGAATGGAGAATGTTTTTAAGCTTATAAAATAATTCTATCATATAAACCATTTTAATTTTAAAAACTTGGTTTTATATGTTAATTATGTTTTGATTATTAAATATTTTAATTTTTAAAATTTTTGGTAGGTGTATAGCATTTTTTTTATAAAACTAATTTTAAAATATTTAAATTTAGATTAAATTATACTTTTGATCTTTTATCTTATTTTAAAATTTTAATTTAATTATTTATTTTTAAAAATATTCATTTAATTCATTTATCCCTTGAATTTGGGTTGATTTAGTCCTTAATAAACATTAATTATTTTTAATTTTGTGATATAATTTTGAATTATATTTTGACTTATTAAAGGCTTAAGCTTGTCTCTTTAGATTTATTTATATGAAAACTATTACATGCAACTCAAATTCACACAAAAAAGTGTCATAAACATGGTGAAAATTGCATAATAATAATAATAATAAGCCTAGAAGACAATCAAAATTTCAAAAAATTTAACTTCATATTATTTTTTAGTTGTTTAGGAGACATGTTTTTTTATAGGTTTTTTTTACTATGTTTATAACTTTTTTTAATTCGAACATCAATTTAATTTCATTATTTTTATATATGTGAATATAATATTATAAGTTTCATATCTTGAATTGATTAAAAATTGATTCAAGATCATATCACAAAATTTAAATAGTCATTATTTTAAAATGACCAAATTAATTTAAATAAAAAATTTAAATGATCAAAATGAACATTTTAACTTATAAAACATCAAAATAGATTTAAAAAGTAAGATAAACGACTTAGATTATATTTTTGTCTTAAATTTATTATCAGTAGGTATGTGATGACTTTTTCAATGGAACTATTTTTTATTTTTATTTGTGACAACCCGCTAGATCATTACATTTAATATAGTTTAACTACTATGCAACAAAATTGATAAACAACATCCAACTATCCTAGAATTATCATACTATATATATATATATATA